TTTTAAAGGCATGAAGACCTTTTTTAAAATTTTATTGTTGTTCACTTACTGTTGTCCTGCCATTTCTCCCATTGCTCACCCCCACCCTCCCCACTCTCATAGTCCGTCCCCCCTTGCCTGTGCCCATGAGTTTTCTGTTTGTGTTCCTTTCCTTCCTCTTCCCTTTCTTTCCCCCATTATCCCTCTCCCCCTTCCCCTCTGGTCACAATTAGTTTGTTCTTTATTTCCAAGTCTCTGGTTCTAGATTGCTCATTTGTTTGTTTTATTGGTTAGTGTGGGGGCGACTTTTCCTGCAAGTCCCCCCATCTGCCATGGATGAAAGAACACTACCAAGACAAGATCTGCTTGGGGAGGAGAGGTGACTGATCCCTCAAAAGGGAAGGGCCTCAAGCCCCTTCCTTCAGGGACTTTTATTGGGTTGTAATGCACAGGAATACAGGGCAGCAAGGATCAAACAGTAGATAACATTTCAAAGAAATTTGAGGGCTTAGTCTGAGTCAGTGTCTGTCAGGAAGAAGGTTTTGCAGAAACTTTAGGGTTTCCTGGTCGGACCCTTAACATATGAATGAAAGCACTCTTAGCAGAGCAGATTTCACAGGTTTATCAGGAAGTCTTTGTGATGCCAGATTTTTCCCCAGGATCTGCTCTGGCAAGCAAGGAGCTGTACCTCTCCCCATTAGGTATTCAGGCTTAAGTGGATTAGAGCCAGGAAGCGCTTCTCCCAGAGGACAAGGGGACTCAGGCTACATCACATAGCCAGAGGGCAAGGGTCCATTGCAGCCCCCCCCTTCCCCGAGTCCTTCCATGATGGCCTCCCAAGTGATTGAGTCTGGCTTAGGTTGCTTCTCCTTTGAGGGGTGTTACCCATTTCTGACTTCCTAACATGCTTTGGGGGCAGGAGGAAACTGAGGCAGTGTTTGCTACCAGAGACAAGCTTTGTCTCCTGTGGCTTGCATTCTGGAGGTCACCCATTCATCCTTAGCCACGGGGTGGGTGGTGGGGGTAGTTACAATTCCTGAAACCAGGCAGAGCTGTCCACAACAGGTTAGGTTCCACTTACAGGTAAGATCATATGGTATTTGTCCCTCACTGCCTGGCTTATTTCACTTAGCATAATGCTCTCCAGTTCCATCCATGTTGTCACAAAGGGTAGGAGTTCCTTATTTCTTTCTGTAAAAAACCTCATCTTGATCGAGTGTTTGTGAAGCTTGCCTTTAATGTTATTTCTCTTATGCTGTGCATGGTTTTATTAACTAATCTGAACCCTTGCATCATTTCTTATTTACTGCCATGTTCTCACAGTGGTGGGTACTCAGTATTTGTTGGCTACTGTGTTGGCTCAACCCACAATATTCTGTAAGTTCTGTTATTTCACAGACCCTTGCATGTCGAGGGGTTTTCCAGCACAGTGGGGTGAAAGACAAGACAGGCATAATTAACTCATATAAATTGCTTTCTGTTTATTTGTATGGTATAGTACAGTCAGTAAAGTAGGTACGCGTGAAAACTATCTTTATTGTACATGGGGGGAATGAACAATCATCTGCGGGGTCAGTAGTGTATGATGTACTTATGTGGATATAAGACGTCAACTAGTAGTTCATGTATTTCAGTTTCTTGCTAGATTTACTGCAAAACAATACCTCTTTGTTTCCTTTTTCATAGTTACTGGAATGATGCTCCCCACTTTTGTCTAGTGGAAAGACCACCACCCTTGTAGGAAATGGGAGAATTGGGACTAGTTTCAACATTGGTAGTACTACCTGTACTACTTACATTAGAAAGTCACAGTTTGCTTTGGTGTCTGGATAGCCTAGTATCAAAAGATTAGGAGGGCGAAAATTGAGCTGAGTAAAATTTCAACGTAGCAGTTTTCATTGGCAATGATTTTATTTTATTTTTTGCACTTAGCCTATTCCTCGGGCTTCCTTCTTGTCTGGGGAAGCACTGCCTCCAGGTATAACAAAGATGTCTCATCTATGGCACCTGCCCTCTCTGCCCAGCTCCATTGTCCAGAATTAGTGCTTCTTCCACTCTGGCTTCCCTTTCCCTTAGTTCTGGGGCTGTCAGCTGAGTTAGGTACCAGGGAAAAAGCAGTTTGGAAATTTCAAATGTTATAGGGAAGAGATTTGGAGCAATGTAGCCTTTGCTCCATTGCTACCTATGTCTTCATATCTTTTACTGAAGATATCACGTCTGTGCTGAAGTTTAGATAAACCTGAGAGCACTGTTTTGCCCTCCCGATTTCCCTGACTTGTCTTTTATGCCCTTCTTCTTAGCTTATCCCATGAAAGCCCTTTCCACAACCCCTTAACTTTTCCTGAGGCCCACCACTGCCCTATTGTTTGTTCTCTCAGAGGCTGGTGTTAAACAGATTCCTTGTCTGTACTTCTGTCTCTGATGAGGTTTTGTCTCCTTTTAACCCTGCCATGGCAAATATACCTCTGAACTCTCTCTTGTTCTGAATGGAAGTCACTCAACCAGAAAATTGGGGGTGAGGTCACTTTTGTTAGAGAATACCTTTTTCCTTTTCTTAGTTTTCTATTTGATATTCGCTGTATTATGGTATCACTGTGCATCTCCAGTGTTTTTGAGGCATTTGACCATGGAAAGGTATGCCAACAGGGGACTTTGAACTTCCCTCCCTAGTCAAAGGATTAGATAGGAGAGTGGTAGGGTAAACCTTAGCCCAGTGTCAAAACATGGCAGATGATGGTCACTTCTAGCTGACAAGAACTAGAAGTATCAAAGTAAAGATGGAACTAACAAGCCAGGGCTGGACCTGAATAAGTATCACTGGAGAACTGATCATAGATGAAGGCTTTTAGACTGATTCATATTAAGGCTTTACTGATTATAATTCCCACTTAGAGAATAAAGCCTTCTAACATTACATATTTTATCTATTTGCATGTTGTGCTCACAGAGGGTGTGGGTGCAGATAACAGAGGAAGATGCATCCTGGGGCTTTGGTCTCCAGACATAAAAGAGCCCCAAGACAGTATATAAAGAGATCTTTGTAATTAAAAGTGAGAGTAACCCTGGCTGGTGTGGCTCAGTTGGTTGGGTGTCATCCCACAAACCAAAAGGGCATGGGTTTGATTTTCAGCCAGGGCACATGCCTAGGTTGTGAGTTCAGTCTCCAGTTGGTTGGGGCACATACAGATGGCAACTGATCTATGTTTTTCATATCAATGTTTCTCTCTGTCTCCCTCCCTTCCCCTCTCTCTGAAGTCAGTAAGTGTGTTCTTGGGTGAGGGTAAAAACAAAAAATAAAGTGAGATTAGGGGTTTGAGGAAAGAAGTCTCTCCTAGATTCCTTTTGACTTAGGACAAAAGCATCAGGATTTCATTTTGTAAAAATTCTCTCCCATGAGCCACCATAATTAAACCCATTTGGGATTTGTTCTATATTTATTGTTTGTTGCTCATAACATACTTCCTAATATTGCAGGATCACTGACTGACAACTTACATAAGTTATTAAATATTTATTTATAAAATCTTTATAACTTTTATTAAATAGCACTGTATTTAATTCATTTGGTTATTTAAAAATGTATACTGTTGCACATTTAGACAACAGCCTAACTGTTGCTTTGCAGTTCCAACTTTTTATGAAAGGAACTGGAAATTGTATATGAAGACAAAAACATTAAAATGATTGGATAGCACTGTATGGATATCTATAATATAAAGGAAGGCTGAAATCTTATTTAAAAATACTCTTTGTATGCGTCAATGTGTTTCACCAACCTCACTAGCCAGAGGAATTATTTTGTAGCAATAAGGATTCATTGTCTTTGATGCTATGGCTCACCCAGAACTACTAGTCAAGTATGTTGCTGGTATTCTGGAAGCCCTAGGTGATGTGTCACTTGAGCTCTTAAAAGATTTCTCTCATTTTCCCCTCTGTTCTTTCCTCGCTTCCTTTGGTAGTCACTCCCTGACATGCCACCTGAACCAATGCTTCTAGTTCCCAGAAAACTGATACCTGTGCCACAAGTCTCCTGGACTTCTAAGCATGAACCTTTAAACTCTGGAAGTGGTGATGCCATGGTCTTATAAGAACTGTTCTTGGAAGAATGAATGCTTATTCTCTCACACCAGAAAACCATGCCTGTACTTCCCACCTTACAGATGCATGAAAAGCTGCTTCTTGTACCTATCTTTCTCCACAGAGCCAAATAGGAATATATGGAACTAGTGGTGTTAGGTATCATTATCTGATTTATACTTTCCCCTACAGTGGTTTTCTTCTGATGCCTGGCAAAATATCTTTTCCTTGTCACTTCAAGACTAAAAACCAATCAACCAACCAAACAAGTCTCATGCAAGACCACCCACCATTTCATGAGACATGCGCAGAAATTTCTGAAAATCCCACCATAGTTTCATTGTAGGACCCTGAGCCTCATCTACTTGATACTAATAGTGATCATCATGTAGCTTGTAAGGATTTCCGCAGAAGGCATTTGTCATGCTGCTCCAACTCACATCTACTCACCTTGTTCTCCAGTCAAAAGATCCTAGCAGCTAGCCAGGCTGTGACCTTGAAGAAAAAACAAAGCCCTGGATATGTGAGGTTGACCAAACTTTTACCCCTCTGTTATAACTGAGTATGGCCTAATCCTACTCGTATACTTTACATGAAAAGGGTAAGTGCATAACTGGCAACCACTTTTGAGAGTGAAAGGGACACCATTAATATTTATGTCAGGACAAATATTATTATCCTAAATATGGATGAGCTGTAACATAAACAAGATTTTAAGATCTTATTTTTACTAAGTTTGCCTAATTATTTTTCAAACCATATGTTTTAATTATTACTGTTTTATATCATTTAAAAAATCTTCATTCTTGTGTATAAGTTTCTTTCTTAGAATAGTTGCTTTATGGATATATCCTGTCTAATTAGTTTTCATTTCTAATTATAACTTAAAATGTGATTTTTTCTTCTCCCCACCAACAAGAAATGTTATGTTGTTTTTAATGCAGATGCAGAGTTTGCAGGGTGGTACAGAAGCCATAGCCCGATTGGATCAGTTAGAAGCTGATTATTATGATCTGCAACTTCAGTTGTATGAAGTACAGTTTGAAATCTTGAAGTGTGAAGAGTTACTATTGACAGCACAACTGGAAAGCATCAAAAGACTTATATCAGGTATTGTGTACATTTAGCCACATAAGTCCACAGAAGATTGAATACTTTATAAGCGATAATGGCTTTTCCTAAAGTGACAGAGCCAGTACGTGGATTAAAACCCTGTTCTGTCTTCTACAGTCCGTGCACCTAACCATTACCCTTTGTTGCTGTTCTGTATCAGAAAAGAGAGATGAAGTGGTGTACTATGACACTTATGAAAGCATGGAGGCCATGCTGGAGAAGGAAGAGATGGCAGCGTCGGTGCACTCACAGAGAGAAGAGCTGCAGAAACTTCAGCAGAAAGCACGCCAGCTGGAAGCAAGACGTGGACGGGTTTCAGCCAAGAAAGCCTACCTCAGAAATAAAAAGGTATAATAGGTTATGTATTTATCGAATATATAATCTTAATTTTAATTCTTGCATTTGTTACCTAATCCTTGATCCATAGCTGATAGTCCTACTTTGTCACTGATACTTACTTTTTTTAAAAAATAATTTTATTTAGTTATTTTTCAAGTACAGTTTTTTGTCTGTTTCTCCCATCCCAGCCTCCCCCGCCCCATGCTCCCCACCTCCCTCCCATTTCCACCCCCCTTAGTTCTTGTCCCTGTGTCCTTCATATTTGTTCCTCCAAATCCCTCCCCTTTTTCCCCCTTAAATTCCCTTCCCTTTAAATGAAGTAAATTATTATGGGGTGCTGCTTCAGATCCTGCTGGAGTTATTTGGTAATATATGATATCACCTTTTTAAAACCTGGAAAAAACTTAATTTCAAAACTCATCTCACCTCTGTTCTGGATAAGGGATTATGGACCTATATTCTCATAACCAAGGAAACCAAGACATAGCAGTTAAATAAATGACCCAACCAAAAGTGGTTAGTATGGGGCAAGGTAAGATTCTGTCTTAGGTCTGTATGACTTGGAAGCTTGAGTCTTTATATCACCATATCATGTCACTATATAATACTACCTTTGTTCCCCTGGAGACTACCTTAGACAGGCTCATTTCACGATCAACAAATTTAACCTAGTGTGGGTAAAGAATATAATATAACAGTTGCTTTAAAAAATAATTTACTGGCTTCAAAGGTTATTCCTTAAATGCCTTTCTCTGATTAGAAGAGTAATCTTTTGGTATAGCTCTGATAGTGTTGGAAACTAATATAAACCCTTTTATGTGGAGGACTTTTCCAAAGGGACGCAGAGAAAATGAAGACTTGGCAGAGTGCCACCAGAAAGTTGCCAGATAATAGTGCATTATTTGTTAAAGAAGCACATGTATCCCATTTTATTACCGTGTTATTTTCATGTGATTAGAAGCAGCATACCTATGTTTTCTTTATAATTCTGACATTGTGGTCTTTAAGGTTTCTTTTAGTTCTCAAGTCTGTGCCTAGAAGTTTTGAGATTTTTATGATATGGATTAAACTATTTGGGGCAAAATCATGTTCTTTAACTCATCAAAGAGAGTTTAAGAATACAACCTTTAAGCCAAGAGTTGTATATCCTTTCTTCCCAGACAGTTTAAAGAGTACAGTAAGACTTAGAATCTTCTGGCCATGGACTTGAGAGCTGCAAGAGACTTTTGAGATTCTATAAGGACACTCCCTTCCACTCTACCTTGCCCCATCTCTCTCCCTCAAAAAAAAAAATAAGAGAAATGAGGAGAGTCAGAGAAGTTTTAATAGTTTCATAGAAGAATCTTTTTAAGATCTTCGTGATTTGGCTTATGCAGCTTCAGAATTCCTAATAAGAAACCAGAGGTGGTTCACTTGGTATTTTGCTATGTAGGTATATGTTAAGATTAAAATTTAACTTTGTCAAGTAATCACTGGATTTTATTTAATATAAGTTAAATATATGTGCCATATTTTTCAGACTATGAGAAGCACTCCCTCCCCCCAAATTTGGGAGGAATAATGGTTGTTAATGCTGCTGTTGAGTTCTGTTTACATTTACATTGGTGAAATACTATGTTATTTATGTTACTAAATCTTTTACCACAATTTTTGCTTCAAAATTTTTTTCTACTTTCCTCCTCTAAAGCCTGGGTGCATCTAATGGTCAAAAAAATACGTTGTAAAGTCACTAGATTATATTAAATATGTTTCACTTATATTAAAACATTTAATGCATTTATAGGAAATTTGTATTGCAAAACACAATGAAAAATTCCAGCAGCGCCTTCGGAGTGAAGAGGAATATAGAACCCATCACACAGTACAACTAGTAAGTTTGGATTCTTGAACACTTGAAATAAAACTTCAGTTTTTACATGTATCAAAGTGAACAGAATTTATAGAGAATTTTAAAATGTTTTTTTAAATATATTTTATTGATTATGCCATTACAGTTGTCCCATTTTCCCCCCTTCATTCCCCTCCACCCTGTACACCCCTCTACCACCATTCCCCCCTTTAGTTTATGACCATGTCCTTTAGATTCTATATTTCCCATGCTATTCTTGCCCTCCCTCCTATCTATTTTCTACCTACCATTCGTGCTACTTATTTTCTGTATATTCTCCCCCCTTCTTCCTCCTCCCACTCCCCTGTTGCTAACCCTCCTTGAGATCTTCATTTCTATGTTTCCACTCCTGATCTAGCTGTCCTTTTAGTTTGCTTTTGTTTTAGGTGTGGTTCTTAATAATTGTGAGTTTGCTGTCCTTTCACTGTTCATCTTTTTTATCTTCTTTTTCTTAGATAAGTCCCTTTAACATTTCATATAACCAGGGCTTGGTGAAGATGAACTCCTTGAATTTGACCTTATCTGAGAAGCACTTTATCTGCCCTTCCATTCTAAATGACAGCTTTGCTGGATAGATCAATCTTGGTTATAGGTCTTTGGATTTCATGACTTGGAATACTTCTTTCCAGCCCCTTCTTGCCTGTGAGGTCTCTTTTGAGAAATCCGCTGACAGTCTAATGGGAACTCCTTTGTAGGTGACTGTCCCCTTAGCTCTTGTTGCTTCTAGGATTCTCTCTTTCATTTTAATCTTGGCTAATATAATGATGATGTGCCTTGGTGTGTTTCTTCTTGGGTCCAACTTCTTTGGTACTCTCTGAGCTTCCTGGATTTCCTGGAAGTCTATTTCCTTTGCCATATTGGGGAAATTCTCCTTAATTATTTGTTCAAATAAGTTTTCCACTTGTTGCTGTTCCTCTTCCCCTTCGGGTACCCCTATAATTCGGATGTTGGAATGTTTAAAGATGTCCTGGACGTTCCTTCACCTCTCCTCATTTTTTTGAATTCTTGTTTCTTCATCCTTTTCTGTTTGCTCATTTTTTTCCTCTTTCTGGTCCACTCCCTTGATTTGAGTCCCAGTTTCCTTTCCATCCCTATTGGTTTCCTGTGCATTTCCCTTCATTTCAATTAGTTTAGCCTTCATATGTTCCTCTAATTTGTGACTAAAATCAACCAGTTCTGTGAGCATCCTGCTCACCAGTGTTTTGAACTGTGCATCTGAAAGTTTGGCTATTTCTTTAGCACTTATCGTTATAGGCTCTGGGGCTTTTGAGTTTTTCTTGAGCCATAATGTTTTGCTCTATTCGCACCTGTTACCTTATGAGGAGTAGAACCTTAGGTGTTCACCAGGGCAGGGCCACTCAGGTCGCTGGTTTGTGACACTGTATGTGGGGGCGGGGTCAGAGAGGGACAATGGCAGTCCCTCTGCTGCTTCCCGCTGCTGGGGCCTGAGAGGTCCGTCTCACTGCTCACTCCTTCGCCGGTTTATCAGTTTGGCTGAAGGGTTCGTTGTTGTCAGACTTCTGTATATTTCAATTTTCTGTGATTTGGCTGCATTTTTGTTGCTAAAACTTTGTTGTTTTTAAATTTGGTTGTACGAGAAAACATAGTATTTCCACCTACACCTCCATCTTGGTGGAAGTCTGAATTTTAAAATGTTTTAACTATAGGCATTAGCATTAGTTCATTATATATATGCACATACTGTATAATTTGGAGTACTTTTGGCATAAAATACACATGTACAGCTTTTCTACTAGCCAAAACCCAGCACAAGTGTGGTATGTTCGTTACAGTCAGTGAACCAACACTGATACATCATTATCACCCAAAGTTCATAGTTTACATTAGAATTCATTCCTGGTGTACACATTCTGTTGGTTTTGACAAATGTATGATGACATGAATTCACCATTAGTAGTATCATACAGAATATTTTCATTGCCCTAAAAATTCTCTGTGCATCTCTCTTTCTGTCCCCAAACCACTGGTAATTTTTACTCTCTCCATAGTTATTTATTCCAAAATGTTTAATTGGAAACATGTAATAGGTAGCTTTTGGCTATTGGCTATTAGGTTAGTAATACACATTTAAGGTTCTTTAATGTGTTCATGACTTGATAACTCATTTGTTTTTAGCACTTAGTAATATTCTGTTGCCTGGATGTACCACAGTTTATGAATTCATCTACTGTTGGTTGCTTCCAAGGTTTGGAAATTTTGTAAAGCTCTTGTCGATATCATACAGATACTTGTACATACATAAGTTTTAAACTCTTGGGTAAATACCAAGGGGCATGATTGCTGGATCATATGGCAAGAATATTTAATTTGGTAAGAAATTGCCAAATTGTTTTCCAAAGGAACTGTACCATTTTACATTCCCACAGCAGTGAGTAAGAATTCCTGTTGCTCTACATCCTCACTGACATTTGGTGTTGTCAGTGTTTTGGATTTTAGCCATAACCATAGATGTGTAATGGTATCTCATGGTTGTTTCAGTTTGCAATTTCCTAATGGCATATGACATTGAACACTTTTTCATGATACTTATTTGCCATCTGTATATCTTCTTTGGTGAAGTGTCTGTTCAGATCCTTTGTTCATTTTTTAACTGGGACGTTAAAAAATTGTTTAAAGAATCTTTTTTGCCCTGGCTGGTGTGGCTCAGTGGGTTGAGGGCCAGTGTGGAAACCAAAGGTTTTCTAGTTTGATTCCCCATCAGGGCACATGCCTGGGTTGCAGGTTAGGTCCCCAGTAGGAGGCGCATGAAAGGCAACCACATATTGATGTTTCTCTCCCTTTCTTTCTCCTTCCCCTCCCCTCTGTCTAAAAGTAAATAAATAAAATCTTAAAAAAAAATTTACACTTTATAACAGTCCTTTATCAGAAAAGTCTTTTGCAAATATCTTCTCCAAATCTATGCCTTGTCCTTTCATTTGCTTGAATACCTCTCACAGGGCAAAACTTCTTAATTTTAATAAAGTCCGATTTAACCAAATTTTCTTTCATAGGTTGTACCTTTGATGTTCTATCTAAAAAGTCATCATATTTCTTTCCTAATTATATTTGAGGAGCTTTATAGTTTTGCATTTAGGTCTGTGATCCATTTTGAATTAATATTTGTGTGAGTTTGGAGGTTGTACGGTCTGAGGATAAACTTTTTTTTGTTTGCATGTGGATTTCTAGTAGTTCTAGCATCATTTGTTGAAAAACCTGTCCACTCTCCATTGAATGGCCTTTGCTCCTTGCTAAAGATCAGTTAATTATATTTGTGTGGGTATTTTTTTGAGCATTGTATTCGATTCTATTGATGTAAGTCTTTGCCTTGGTAAAGAAGCATTTTTTTAAAGATTTTATTTATTTATCTTTAGAGGGGAATGGAAGGAGAGAGGGAGAGAAACATCAATGTACGGTTGCCTTTCATGTGTCGCCTGCTGAGAACTGGCTTGCAGGGAACCAGCCTGCAACCCCAGCATGTGCCCTGACTGGGAATCAAACCGTGATTGTCTGGTTCACAGGCTAAAGAAGCATTTTTAACTTATATTTTAATGATTATGCTATTACAGTTACCACAGTTTTTCCCCCTTTGCCTCACTTCACCCAGCAACCCCTACTCCCTCAGGCAATCCCCCCACCATTGTTCATTCCATGGGTCTTCTGTGTAAGTTCTTTGTGTACTCCATTTCCTGTACTGTATACTACATCCCCATGGCTATTCTCTAACTACCTATTTGCATTTCTTAATCCTCTCACTTCTTCAACCATTCTCCATACCCTCTTCCCATCTGGCAACCATAAAAATGTTCTCTGCATCAATGAATCTATCTCTGTTCTTCTTGTTTGCTTAGTTTAGTTTTTAGATTTATCAATAAGTATGGCAATAAATATTGCCATTTTATTGTTCATGGATTTGATCTTCTTTTTCTTAAGTAACTCCTCTTAACATTTCATATAATCAAGGTTTGATGATGGTGAACTCCTTTAGTTTTTTCTTGCCTAAGAAGCTCTTTATCTGTGCTTCGATTCTAAATGATAACTTTGCTGGATAGAGCAATCTTAGCTGTAAGTCTTTGCTTTTCATGATTTTGAATATTTCTTGGCAATCCCTTCTAGCCTACAAAGTCTCTTTAGAGAAATCAGCTGGCAGTCTTATGGGAACTCCCAAGTAGTTAACTAATTGCTTTTCTCTTGCTGTTTTTAAGATTCTCTCTTTATCTTTAACCTTTAGCATTTTAATAATAATGTGTCTTGAAGTGGGCCTCTTTGCACCCATCTTATTTGGAACTCCATGATTCCTTGACTTGCATGTTTATTTCTTTCATTATTTTTAGGGAAGTTTTCTTTCATTATTTTTTTCAGATAGATTTCCAGTCTTTTTTGCTCTTTTCTCCTTCTGATACCCCCATGATGCAAGTGTTGATTTCTTGAAGTTGTCCCTGATTCTCAGCTTCATCCACTCTACCCTGAGTTAGTGTATCCTTTGTTTCTGACTGGATCTTTTTTTTTATGCTATTGAGGTTCTCACTGAGTTCCTTGAGCATCCTTATAAACAGTGTTTTGAACTTCGCATCTGATAGATTGTTTATCTCCATTTCATTTAGCTCTTTTTCTGGAATTTTGATACGTTCTTTCATTTGGACCATGTTTGTCTCCTAGGTTTGGTAGCCTCCCTGTGTTTCTATGTATCCGGTAGAGCTGCTTTGACTCTGACTTGGTAGTGTGGCCTAATGTAGTAGGTACCCTGTAAGGTTCAGTTGCACGGTCTCCCCTTTCATCAAGCTGAGTACCTAGCTGTGCCCTTTGTGTGGGCTGATTACACCCTCCTCTTGTAGTTGAGCCTCAGTTGCTATATGAGATCAACAGGAGGAATTTATCCGGATCAATCAGGTGCAAGGACTGGCTGTGACTGCTGACCACTGGCCTCCGTCCTCCATGGAGGATAAGCTATGCAAAGGAAGGATCACAGTCCTCTGACGCGGTCT